TATCTATCTATCTATCTATCTATCTATCTATCTATCTATCTATCTATCATCTATCTATCTATCTATCTATGAAAGCAAAATATATGTAACTGCTCTTAAAAATATTTTTGGAACGAGAGATCTGACATTAAATAAAGCGGGTGCTTTCTCTGTGAATCCTATTCTATATACAAAATGGCTACAACTGGCCCTAAGTTGTGTTACTGCTTATATTTCATCGCCTTCCTCTTAATTTTCCCAAGGCCAGCCTCATGGGCTTTAGAGTGACCACAGAATATGAAATTGTCAAGCTGTAAATCAGAAGCAGGAATTTATAGGAATGGTGCTATTGCAGGACAATATTTCACAGTGATAACCAAGCTCAGTTCGTAGCATTTAAAAGCATCTCTTTAATTCCAACTGTTGCAAGGATTAAAAAAAAATTTTTTTTAATCATTTTAACACATTTTTATTTAAAAACATTTTTTTATAATTTGAAGTGAATCAGGCGACCCCGAAAAACAAGTTGAAATTGTGGAGCACCCCAACTCAACGTATGCGCAGGATTCTCTCTTTCTGACAACAGGAAACAGGAACAAGAACCACAGAAAGGGGTGTGAGGAATTATCATGTCCTATCCAAAGTGGGATTCCTAATTTACAGCTTTCCTACCAAACCAGAAACTTGTTTTGGACAGAATGGGAAGTGTTTCCCAATTAGGAAGTAAGACCCATGGGGCAGCATTTCCTATCATGGTTTCCCTTAAGTAAACCTTAAATCTTCAAAATCCTGGACTTGCACGAGTCCGGTGTGTGCCACATCACTATATTAAAATGAAGGATTCCCCTTGCACACTCAGTTGAGGTGCATCTCGATTGTCAAAGACAATGCCTATTATGGGATGGCTCCAAGAGAGACTTGGTGTGAAACAGGCAAGATCCCTTCCAACAGCCATCAATATGTGCTCCTCCTCAGGCTCACCTTGAAGTAGGAACAGCCGGCTGAGGAGTCATCACGGACAATGTCCTAGGATGCCACAACAACGAGCTATGTAAAAGGCGTGGGAAATTCAAAAAGGGTCATTTTCTCTACCCAGCAGCCTAGCTGGGGACAAGCATCAGGGTGAGCTGCGACAGTACCCCAGACCGTGGCTGGCCAGAACGTGTGAAATTTGTAGAATAGTGTTTCTCATCCTTGGCAATTTTCAGACTTGTGGACTTCAACTTCCAGAATTCCCCAGCCAGTTATGCTATGCTATGTTGGCTGGGGAATTCTGGGTGTTGAAATCCACATGTCTCAAAGTCAGAAACACTGTTCTAGGAGTCACAAGGTATTTTTCAACTCACATAAATAGGGCTTTGTTAAGCACTAATGGGCCAGCATGTTGTGTTACAGCTTAGCAGCCAGAATTTGATATGCTGCAATTTATACATACAAATATATTTTCTCTCTTTCTCTCACACACATATTTAAATACCGAGTAGTAGAACCCAACACTATGCTGATGAAATGGGGGGGGGGGGGAAATTATCTATATAAATACAAACAATTTGGGCATGACAGAGCAACGTGCAGACATATTCTGTTCTACAAATTCATAGAGAAATAAGCTGCCCAGGGTTAAGGCACCCAGCACCAATTTTTGCTAACTGAGCTCATCACAAAAAAGGGAAAATAAGCAGCAGCTGAAGCAACCCTGAAATCTTCTTACAGCGAAAACAACGACACTATCTTCATTTTGGGTTGGGCGGCAAGAGAAACATTAGCCAGAGAACTGACGTGCATCACTGCAACATAGATGGTGGGTGAAGTAATCATTTCCCTTTGTTTTCGGGAAGAAAAATTCCCTCCATGACACACACAAAACATTGCTTCGATGCCTCAGTGCTTATATTAGAATTCCCTATTTCCTATCGGATCATTTTCTCTCAGTGGGAATTGAAACAGTTTGCCTCCTTAACAGTAGCTGTTGAGTCTGCCACTTCTGTGCCACCGATGTTATATACAGTTGGCATTTATCTGCCCAGAAACTCCTGAAACAAAAAGGAATTAACCTGGGGACCAATGAGGCTGGCAGGTTGTCAAACCGTGTATTGGATGCCAGCGCTAGTAATATAACTTTATCAAATATATATATATAGAAAGATACATATATATATATATATATATATATATTTACACACTCAACCGTATGAACAAAAAGAGGAATGCTAATTCCAGTCTTTTCCCTTCTACGCAAGTAAGAAGAAATCTTGGGGTGGCTGAACCCCAGGTGAAGAAGTGGGTGTCCTTTACGGAGGTCCAGAATATTTCCTCTTCCGATGGCTGGCGGGTTTAGGGATGGTCGCCTTCCACTCTTCGCTTGCGAACTGTCCAGACAGAAGGGACGGAGCAGAGGGACAAAAAAAGAGAAAAGAGAGAGAATTAACTTTGGCATGAAGTCGTCATGTTCTGTTCTTCAGGAGGGAGGGATTACAGATTTTCCTTGACTTACAGCCATTCATTCAGCGATGGTTCGAAGTTACACTGAAAAAAGCGATTTACAACTGGACTTATGGCCATCGTAGCGTCCCCAAGGTGTCACATAATCAAAATTGGGGCGTTTGACAACTAGCATGTGTTGGTTGGGGGCCATACAATCACTACTTGTGTCCTTCCCAGATGGTTTCTGACAAACTCAAGGTGGGAAGCTGGATTTTCTTAACAGTCGCTGTGATGTGCTTAACCGCTGAGGTAAAAAAGGTCATTAAAAATGGCTGTGACTCATTTAATTTGCTGAATTTCCAGTGGAAATTCTGCTTCCAAATGGGGATCATGTGAGCCTCTATGGCACAGTGGTCAGAGTGCAGTACTGCAGGCTACTTCTGCTGCCTGCCGGCTGCCTACAATTTGGCAGTTCAAATCCCACCTTAACTCAGCCTTCCATCCTTCCAAGGTGGGTAAAAGGAGGACCCAGATTGTTGGGGGCAACAGGCTGACTCTGTAAACTGCTTAGAGAGGGCTGTAAAAGCACTATAAAGTGGCATATACATCGAAGTGCTATTGCTATATGTCGAGGACTGTCTGTAATCCAACGGGATACTGGGGGCTATGCCCCAAAGGGACAAGGAAATGGGATTAAAAATAAAACCAAGTTAGATTTAGTTCAGCTTTAAACAAAAAATGCCGTTAATGTTTAAACAAAAACACTGTTAATGTTTAAAATCAACGAAAGGCACCAAAAAGCTTCAAATGAGTTCCCTCTATCGGTATCACTAAATGTACCAATTCGGTGGTAACCTTTGCAGCAGTTTGGAAGACTTGCCCTGTACCTTTCAGCCCCAGGAAAGCTCCTGCCTCTGTATGCTCTGCCACCCATGCGCCACAGCCCTGTCTTGCCAAACCACGACAACAGCAGCAGCCGAAACCGCTCCTGAGCATGAGTTTTGTGCAGGAGAAAACGACAGAAAAAGCAAAAGGAAAAATGCATGCAAGGCTTGTGCGAGGGATGCATGCAGAGACACAATCAGGCAACCTTTTCAAGAGGCTTCTCTTCCTTAGCGCTTAATACCAAGCGGGCATTTGCAAGAACCTCTTCAGAAGCTTCAGGGCTGAAGAGATGCAAGGAGATCGGCAGAGATTTTAACTCCCAGATGCCAGGCTAAGGGTGGAAGAAGAAAGGAGAAAAGAACAAAGTACGAGAGAGAGATATCCCACAGTCCTGGAATTTGAAGACGCAGAGAGAAGAGAAGGAGAGTAAAATGGCTCTCTCGCTGAAAATTAAACCCCAAACAAAACCAGATTATTATTTTGCTTTCCATTTCAGAACGGTTGTGTTATAGGGTGGGAGGCATTCAGTCTCCTCGTCTGTTTTTCAGTTCATTCAAACGAGATGTCTGTCTATGGAAATTCTCTGTCTTTCAGGTCATGGTTGTCCCAAAGGTGCTCTTTCAAGGGGCAACTGAATTTTGTTCTTCTTCGAAGACGTTTTGCTTCTCATCCAGAGCCGAAGAAGCTTCTTGGATGAGAAGCGAAACATCTTCAAAGAAAAACCAGAAAGTCCAGTTACCTCTTGAAAAAGCACTTTTGGGAAATGTGCATAAAAAAAACTCCACAGGCCTGCATAACACCAAGCTCTTGTCATAGCTGTGAGCTGTGATTCAATGCTCTTACCTAGTGTGATATTTTATATGTCACCTGAACTGAAACCTTAAAGGGATTACTTTTGAAATGAACCTGTTCTGACCCACACCCTTTTCCAACAAATCAAACATAATCCAAAAGGAACAGAAACCTTGTAATGTTTTTACAAAATAATTAGCTTTGATAACCACAAGCCTTGCCAAACTGTGCAAGACTTGTCAAAAGATAACAGACAAGGAATAATTTGCAACACAAGAATCTTCAAATACAAACTCAGGTTACTGGAATGTCCACGAGGCTGGAGTTTCAAAACGTCTTTGCCTGCTGCAAAGAACGTCCGATTCACAGCTGGCTTTTATCTTCTTAAAGGAGGGGCCATTATCTTGCAGCCTTACTCCCAAGTCGCCCGTGTGGTGTAGCTCTTTCCTGCAAGCAATCCTGTGTGCACGCGCACTTGGCACAGGCTCCTCAGGAACCTCCTTATCGCTGCTGCCAGCCCCCACAATGTCTGAAGGCAGCAGTCCATTCCCTAATGGTCCTGGCCCCTCATCTGAGTCCTCGCTCTCCTCAGCCATCCGCACCTGCTGCCGGCTAACCACAACAGAACCCATAGGACTATCTGAGTTTTCCAAAACGCACTGAAATAGATAACACGCTTTAGCTGAATTATGGCTTAAAAGTGTGAAAGGACTCTGCGTTTGCACAATGCTAAGTCATATTGTCTGTGGAGATTCTCAGTCATCCAGGTTTTCCAAAAGCCATCCGGACTGCCTCCGTTTTTTCCCTTGAAAAAGTGTCGCTTCTCAGCCAAGAAGCTTCTTCACTTCCGAAACGTTTGCAAAGAAGAAGAAAAAACAAAAAAAAACCACCCCAAGAAAGTCCAGATGGCTTTTGGAGAAAAGCACCTTTGGGATGAATTCATATTGAAGTTATTAATAACTAAACCAAGCGTCCTCATTTTTGGCGGGAAACCTGCATCGCTTTAAGAAAAATCAGTAAAGAAGGAAGCAAGCCATTCAGGAAACTTGTTTTTTTTTTTAAAAAAAAATGTGAATGATTTATTATTGCTGGCTCACCTGTACTAGAATGAGGAATCATAAGAAGTATCACAATCATAAGAAGTATCACGATCACCGGTTCAGTGATCGTGTGCGCATGCATATATGCACCTAAAGCGTGCACGCAGCTTTCTCCACACCAGCTGAGGCCTGCAGCGCCAATCTCCTCAGAGCCCTTTTTTTTTTTTAAACTACCAGTTTGGCCGAACTGGTCCAAACTGGTAGCATGCCACCACTGCTTTCATAGCAGAGCTTGTCTTACCTAGATCATTGTTCTTTGTTATTGCGGCGGCTGCTCTGGCGCGGGGTCCTTGCTGCATGAAGTGATACCCAAACTTAAGGATCTTGGCATTTTCCTCAAGCATCTTGGCAATCTCCATTTCTACGGGGGTCCCGAGCTGCTGCCTCTGTCAGAAATCACCCAAGGTGGAAGTCAACAAATGCTGGCCAGTTACAAGAGAGTTGCACATCAAGCAGAAAACAATGTCAGGATTGGGAGGTCCATCCTCCTTGGCAAACTGCATGGCTTATGTGGCAATTCTCATTCCCAAGAGCAAAACGAAGGTTAGAAACCATGATATATTAAGCTCAAAAGACTTGCATCTCATCCCAAGTCCTTAATGTGGTTTGTTTGATTTGGGCTCGGATGGTTGCGTGGACCAAATCAATCTGGTTCACATTAAGGTGGAAAAACACTGAGAAAAGTGTTTCTTGCAAGGGCAAGGAACGTCTCATTAAAGCAGCTGTATTGTTTTGCGGTGTTAAGTTGGGGAAACCATCGCTGACTCACTAAAATAGCCTTGTCCCTTAACATGTTTCTGAAAAAGTTGGAAAAGAGAAAGGCTAGTGCCTTGGATGGCCTCTGTGACGTCAGGGAAGCAACATGTGGCCTCTGAATACACCCAAGAGGGCCACACAAGAGATGGATGTAGGAAGACAGTCAAGGCAAGGTGGCTGATCAGTGGGATTGCCTGGGCTGGAAGACTTATGACTATTGTAGTAAGGAAGAGACACACAGAGCACTTGGAGGGTGGAAGGGAGAGAGGCAACAGGCATTTGCCACATTCACTGTACTCCATAAATCACTCCAGGATTTCTCTGCGTTCTTCTTTAGCTTGAAATTTGGCACAATTTCTGTGTTCTCCAAACCGTAGCCAACCCAAAAACGCTCGGCCCAAACTTCCAGAACGTTTTGGATTTGAAACAAAGTCCGTTTCCTATCTCCTTCCCATCCCAACAACAGCAAAGCCTTGGAGAAAGGAGACTTTTATTCTTTTAACAAGATGGTGAACAATACCTTTCTTGGGTTTCATAAGCAACTAGCTTGATATCTGTGCTTCGCTGTGAAACTATGTGGTCAGGCTTAGTTTTGGGGGAAGAAAATAAGGGGGGTGGGGGTGGAATTCTGTCTCTGCCTACCAGCATCCATCGGTATTCATCTGGCTAGTGTCCTGTCAGTGTGTGAGAGAGTTGAGGGCTGTTTGGAAATTGAAACAGTATTTGCTGTGTGAGCAACAAGGAGACAGCAAGGAGCCTGGGTGTGGCTTAGCTCAACTGTTCTGTACTAAAGCTGGTTGCTGCTGTGAAACTGAAACTCCTCTCCTCTGCTTGTGTTTTGCATTTGCAACAGATTTCTTTTCAGGTGGGGAGGGGGAACAGAACTCCTTAGCATCAGAGCGTGTTAATAATAATATACGAAATACTAATGCTCTGATGGTCATTTTGAAAAATCCATTCTTAGTGAGCACCTAGAAGCCAAGAAGAACATAGGTGCCAAATTTCAAGTTTGTAGGCTTTACGGTTCTGGAGATTTTGATGATGATGCGTGAGTGGAATTTCACTTTTATATATAGATTCTCCTGCAAAAGGCAGGAAAACGGCTCTCAGAAATAGCCCTGAGGAAGAAACCCGTCTTTCCACTTCAGTTTTAAAAAAAGTCTCACTTGGCCCACTTTTTAGACCCCCCCCCCCTCACTAGGGTAAGGTTACCTGGTTATCAATTTTGATCTCTGTCAAGGTTTCATTCTCTCTCAGTGCCTCTATCAAGGCCAAAATGCCTGCGCCGGTGATGAAGTTGGATTCAACGTTGAGGCTGTTCAGGGCCCGGTTTGCACGCAGCATGTCCGCAAAAGCCTCGAGAAACAAAAGAACAGCAATGAAGTCCACGCTGGACTGGATTCACAACAGGAGACACCCATGCTACCTTACATACTGCCATAGCAAATGAGAGAAGGAGTTGCCCATAAGTGGCACCTCCCAAAGCTAAAACGGAGATATATGGGGCTGTCCCTGCTTGCAATTTCTTTCTTCCTGGTGCCTTCAAACATTACAGCGGTCTCCAACTGTGGCAACTTTAAGACTTGTGGATTTAACTGGCTGTAGAATTCTGGGAGTTGAAGTCCACAAGTCTTAAAGTTGCTAAGGTCGGGGACCCCTGGTCTATGGAGATTCTCAATCATCCAGCTCATGGTTGTCCAGCTCATGGGGCTTTTCCCAGCAGGCAACTGGATTTTTCTTGGTGTTTTTTTTTCCACCCCACACTTTTCCTTGAAAACATTTTCCTTCTCATCCAAGAAGCTTCCTTAGTTATGTTGAAGAACAACCAAATTGAAGAAACTTCTTGGATGAGAAGCGAAATGTTTTCAAGGAAAGAAAAAACAACAAGAAGAAAACCCAGCTGCCTGCTGGGAAAACAACCTCTTGGACTTCAAACGTTAGCTTGTTTTCCTGAATGGCCCTGCTTTACAAAACTGGCTTGGCAATGCATTACTAACTTGCTTCTTAACTTTAAATAATAGTCTAAAATTAAACCGACGTTGTTGTCCAAGCCAACCAGATGCCAGAACACTTTCACATTCGCAACAACTCCTCCTCCACTTGAGGGATTTGACCAATGGGGTCTAGCCAGCCTCCTCTTCTTCTTAAGGACCAATCTGGCTCATTGCAGTATCTTGGCTCACCTTCTGAGATCTCCTCCTGCTTCGAATCTGATCCACCAGTTACAGTTGATTCCCCAAGGCTGGAAGAGCCCAGACAGATGTCGAAAACATCTTTGCAACACCCACAGCGGTGTTAAGATTAAATAGATGGAAACAACTGTCTTGTTGAGTGGGTTGGGCCTCTCTCTCCCAGTGCCAATGACCTCATATTAAGACACAGTTGTGAGTGCCAAATCTGGCTCTTTGCTCACCACGGCCACGGGGTCGTTGCTCCGAGTGGCTGCAAGACTGAAGCTCTTCACGTAGGTGTTCATTTCCAGGGCTTTGGCAAATTCTTTTAGAGTTGGAATGGGGATGTTCTGGAAGTCAAGCAAAAAAAAAAAAAGGCAGCCTTTTGAATATGGACTCAAACTCTTATTAGAGTAAAATGTGCTGCTTTCCTTTCTGAACGGGGTGGAGAATCTGTGTATTTACAGTTTCTGATATTCTCTTCCAACACATAACATAACACATTGCCCCATTTATCATCCTCATCAATTGCAATTCTATGAATTCTATAGTTGCGATGCTCTACCCTAAAAGGGATATTTTACTCGTTCTACTCAATTCTTACCTTGATGTTGTTCAGGTTTACTTCAACAAGGCGAGGATCGTTATCTTTAACCCTTTGCAAACTCTCTTCCACATTTGTGGGGTTCGGTGGTTCATCAAACACCGGGATTACCTTTTCACCTTTAACTACATCTGAATTAAAAGGTAAAAAACCAAGTATTACAGGCACTGATTATATTTCCGTTACAAGTAAAGTCCCTGCTAAACCACTCTTCCTACAACTGATATAGGATGGGACTTTTTCAGTAGTATATGACCCACGTTTTTCATGCTCACGCATCACTGCATTACCACCAACTCAGAAAGTGAATAGCAATTTCATTAGTTAATTTAAAAGATATATATTTCTTTCAGGATAACTGAATTCTAAATCACATCCTGGGGTAGATTGTCAATAGTTAAGTCAACAGGACTTCTCCAAACATTATCATCCAACTAATTTTTAAACAGGAAGTACAGGGAAATTATTAAGTTTATGAAGGTAATCCTGTGAAGGATATTTCATTTACTGGTTTTTCATTCAAATTTCATTTAATCAAAAGTTAAATTTGTTTTTACTTGGAAACCGCTTCAGGACTTTGTTCTTGTGATGAGAAAAAACTGAAACTTTGATTTGGGGTTTTAGCAATTAGATAGGTTTGTTGTCATAGAAATGGCTACTTTATACTATTATGTAAAAGTAAAAAGTTGAGGTTGGATGCCATTATTTTATTCTACTACACCAAAGGGAGTTGGAAGTCAACACCTTTTCTTTCTTTTCCCCCTCTTTCCTACACTTTCCCTTCCCCTATCTTCCCTACTATTTTGTTTTGTATTTTATATTATAATTTTAAAAATTCATTTAATCAAAAGCTGGTTCTGGGGTATCTCTGTGCCTCTCTTTAGGCTGACTGCCCCAGTGGATTGGAGCTCATCCCTCACTCTACCAAAAAAAAAAAAAAAGGCTGTATGCTTCATGTTAAAGACTTTCAAAGTGGACACTGACTTGTGAAACCTTCACTGCCAACACCGTTGCTGCTTCCCACGATATCCTGCAACTGAGAGCTGTTTATCAAGTTGTGCATTCCTAGGATGGCTGGAATTAAAAGAAAAGGGTGGGGAAGACATAAATCATAATTAAGCTTTATCTTTTCCCTTCCAGCGAGGCACAAAGGGGCAATCCACCTTCCCATTTCCCATAATTACTTTTGCTAGCGAGTGAGAAAGGAGGAAGGAGAGAGAAAAAGGATGACCGACAGCAAGAGGGGCAGATTCAGTCAAGAGCATCTTTGGAAGTCCTGAAGGCCAGGATAGGGATAGATTGCATGGAGAAAACCTACTTGGTGACTAAGGGGTTGATACCAACCAGACAGCACACCGATCAGTTAATCAACATGAAGACCTACATCTCTTGAAAAAGACTATAATGCTGGTAAAAATGGAAAGAAAGAGGGGGGGGGGGGAAGGATGACCAGCAGCAAGGGGGACTTAGTCACAACAGTGATGAATACACTGATGGAAAAGTTGAAGAACAAGGTTAGAGAAAGATCGTCATGGAGAAAGTGTGGTTGCTAGGAGTTGACCATGATTTGAAGATACATAACCAATCCACACACACACACACACACCAAATTTACTGGAAAATAAGGAGACAAATCTCTGCCCCAAGTAGCTTTCAATTTAAAGTTTAACATGAGGATAAAACTTAAAGATGAACTGGGGAAGGTGAACTGCCTGTTCCAGTTGGATGTATTTTGGGCTTAGCTTTGCTACACAAGGAAAGCTTCATATTTAGCAATAGCATTTAGCCTTATATACCGCTTCACAGTGCTTTGCAGTCCCCTCTAAGCGGTTTACAGTGTCAGCATCTTGCCCCAACGATCATTTTTACTGATCTCGGAAGGATGGAAGGCTGAGTCAGTCTTGAGCCTACTCAGGATCGAACTACAGACTATGGGCAGAGTTTGCCTGCAATATGCCATTCTAAGCACTGTGCCGTGTTTGTGTTTGCACAGAAAACTGGGATTGGGAATGTGTTTATTCAGAACAAGATAGGCTCTCATGGACATTAGGATGCTTCTGTCTCCAGAAGAGAGAAATAAAAAGGAAACTATCTTCATACATTTGATGAAGAATCTGCCAATGGATCTGCAAATGCTTATTTCGTTCATTTTCCATATCCTTTTTGTTGTTATTTTTCAAAAAGCCTACTACTATTCAAGTGATCCTGAGTAGAGGCAGATATTTCTCTCTTTGGGCACACGGAGAATATATCTGCTGAACAAAACTCCACATTGGCAACCGGAAGGGCATCCGGCCATTAAAACACTGCTAGCTCCATTCTGTTGCCCAGACGCCACCCTGCAACTCTCCCACTCCAAACAACCCCTCCCCACCTTAACAAATCCTACAGACCTGCAAGATCACACAGTTCTGTGTCACTGGCACTTGTCAATGCCTCCTCCAGTTCTGGGTCAAGCATAACTTTTTCTTCCACGTAAGACTGTATTGGTTTTTGTTTGGGAATAAAAACTTTTCCTGTTCAAGGGAAGATAAAAAAATATGCAGGTTAGGACGGCCTCAGTGATTAGTTCAGAACAGGTGACTCTAAAGTGGAATTAACCTGGTTATCTCTGTTTGGGACGGCAGTTCTTATCAGCACCAGGAAATGTTTGTTTAGCAGCCAAATACTTTTGAGACCAGATTTTGGGTAGAAATTCAAGTCCCATTTTAGCCATGAAAGCCGGCTGGTGATTTGGGGCCAGTTCTTCTCTCTCAGCCCATTCCACCTAACAAGGGTGGTTGTTGTGGAAGAAATGAGAAGAGGAAGGTGTGTTGGATACGTTCGCCACCTTGTGCTATTTGCAAAAATAACAAAAGGCAGGATACAAATAAAAGAAGAGGTTTAAATTGTAGAAAGGCAGAAATAAATACTTTTAACAGTAAGAATAAGTTAACAATAGAAACAATAACATTGGGAAATAGCGGGCTGGTATTCACTGAATATGTTTGATCAGATGGACACTTCATTTTAAATTTTTGTCCCGAGCAAGGAGTTGCTCTTCCAACTCTATAATTGTACTATATATAATTATACCACACACGATAATTATACCACATACACACTTCCCAAAATAAAGTGTATCCGTGTTTAAACCTTACCTTACTTAGTTCTATGCATGTTTATACTTATAGGCTGTCTCTAAAAAGGGATTTTTTTTCTATGTGGATGTATGTGCTTAAGCATCCATCTAGGCACATACACGAAGGCAGAATGTAGATATTTTAAATGATAACAAACTAGGCCTGGCGCAATATAGGAAGGAGAATTACACAAACAGCTGTAGCCCTCCTTATTTAACTCCCTTCTCCATCTGGTTTCTGTTTCTTGTACATTTATTTGCTCATCATCACAAGCTTTGGCAGGCTCTAACCTGGATTATTATTTTTCTTTAAGAGGAAATGTCAGAAAGAAAATTTGCAGCATCTGGAAGCTATTTCAGCAACACTGCAATTAATGGAAACCAGCAGAAGACTCAAAAGTTGGCATTTTCTTGGGGGTAAAAAAAAGAGCCATTGGGGTGGCATATAAGTTTCATCAATGGCTGGTTGAACAAACCATGATTAGCTTGAATCAGGTGGGTCGTATCATGCCAAGCCATCAATCGCATTAATAATCAATTATCAGGGCAGGCTTTTCCCCCGCAGTGCTTCGACCAAGTAAATTAAAATTATATCAGCCTAGATCGCATCTGAACCGAGCCGCTGTATTTTGTGGGGATCAGTGTTGGATTGGTATCTTTG